TTCCTGGCTTTCTGTGGTTATGACTTAGACAAAGGCGCCTCTACTTCCTTTCACTGCCTTTGCCTTGAAGCAAGTTGCAATTCTGTCATCCTAGCCCTCCTCTCGTTCATTACTTAACAACACTGGTGTTTTGCAGTTTGGTGCGCTTTGGTGTGTTCACTCATTAAAAAAATAAAAGATAATATATAAAAATCATCAAATATTATTACTCTCAATTATGGAAGAAGGGTTAGGATACAACACACTTCACTGGTATAGACCTATGCCAACATTCAAGAATGATGAAATCATCAAGTTCATGAAGGCCACTTTTACGTGCACTTAAATAAAACACGAGTTTTTGGGGTTTAAGTAAAATGTTTCCGCCCGGTTTCGAACCGGGGACCTTTCGCCGTGTTAGGCGAACGTGATAACCACTACACTACGGAAACTGCTTGTTAAACCTGTGAAGTTGCAACACACTTCACTGGTATAGACCTATGCCAACAGTCAAGAATGATGAACTCATCAGTTCATGAAGGCACATTTTACGTGCACTTTAAATAAAACACGATTTTTTTGGTTTTAACGTAAAATGTTTCCCGCCCGGTTTTCGAACCGGGGACCTTTCGCGTGTGAGGCGAACGTGATAACCACTACACTACGGAAACTAGCTTGCTCACCCTATTAAGTTGCAACACACTTCACTGGTATAGACCTATGCCAACAGTGAAGAATGATGAATCATCAAGTTCATGAAGGCACATTTTACGTGCACTTTAAATAAAACACGAGTTTTTGGGGTTTTACGTAAATGTTTCCGCCCGGTTTTGAACCGGGGACCTTTCACGTGTGAGGCGAACGTGATAATCACTACACTACGGAAACTGCTTCTCCACCCTATTAAGTTGCAACACACTTCACTGGTATAGACCTATGCCAACAGTGAAGAATGATGAAATCATCAAGTTCATGAAGGCACATTTTACGTGCACTTTAAATAAAACACGAGTTTTTGGGGTTTTACGTAAAATGTTTCCGCCCGGTTTCGAACCGGGGACCTTTCGCGTGTTAGGCGAACGTGATAACCACTACACTACGGAAACTGCTTGTCCTAAAGGCTAAGTTGCAACACACTTCACTGGTATAAACCTATGCCAACAGTGAAGAATGATGAAATCATAAAGTTCATGAAGGCACATTTTACGTGCACTTTAAATAAAATAACGATTTTTTGGATTTTACGTAAAATGTTTCCGCCCGGTTTCGAACCGGGGACCTTTCGCGTGTTAGGCGAACGTGATAACCACTACACTACGGAAACTGCTTGTCCACCCTGATAAGTTGCAACACACTTCACTGGTATAGACCTATGCCAACATTCAAGAATGATGAACTCATCAAGTTCATGAAGGCACATTTTACGTGCACTTTAAATAAAACACGAGTTTTTGGGGTTTTACGTAAAATGTTTCCGCCCGGTTTCGAACCGGGGACCTTTCGCGTGTTAGGCGAACGTGATAACCACTACACTACGGAAACTGCTTCTCCCCCTATTAAGTTGCAACACACTTCACTGGTATAGACCTATGCAAACATTCAAGAATGATGAACTCATCAAGTTCATGAAGGCACATTTTACGTGCACTTTAAATAAAACACGAGTTTTTGGGGTTTTACGTAAAATGTTTCCGCCCGGTTTCGAACCGGGGACCTTTCGCGTGTTAGGCGAACGTGATAACCACTACACTACGGAACTGACTTGTCCACCCTATTAAGTTGCAACACACTTCACTGGTATAGACCTATGCCAACATTCAAGAATGATGAACTCATCAAGTTCATGAAGGCACATTTTACGTGCACTTTAAATAAAACACGAGTTTTTGGGGTTTTACGTAAAATGTTTCCGCCCGGTTTCGAACCGGGGACCTTTCGCGTGTGAGGCGAACGTGATAACCACTACACTACGGAAACTGCTTGTCCTACCATGCTAAGTTGCAACACACTTCACTGGTATAGACCTATGCCAACAGTGCAAGAATGATGAAATCATCAGTTCATGAAGGCACATTTTACGTGCACTTTAAATAAAACACGAGTTTTTGGGTTTTACGTAAAATGTTTCCGCCCGGTTTCGAACCGGGGACCTTTCGCGTGTGAGGCGAACGTGATAACCACTACACTACGGAAACTGCTTGTCCACCCTGATTAAGTTGCAACACACTTCACTGGCTATAGACCTATGCCAACAGTGATAGAATGATGAACTCATCAATGTTCATGAAGGCACATTTAAGTGCACTTTAAATAAAACACGAGTTTTTGGGGTTTTACGTAAAATGTTTCCGCCCGGTTTGAACCGGGGACCTTTCGCGTGTGAGGCGAACGTGATAACCACTACACTACGGAAACTACTTGTCCACCCTGATTAAGTTGCAACACACTTCACTGGTATAGACCTATGCCAACATTCAAGAATGATGAACTCATCAAGTTCATGAAGGCACATTTTACGTGCACTTTAAATAAAACACGAGTTTTTGGGGTTTTACGTAAAATGTTTCCGCCCGGTTTCGAACCGGGGACCTTTCGCGTGTGAGGCGAACGTGATAACCACTACACTACGGAAACTGCTTGTCTACCTATGAAGTTGCAACACACTTCACTGGTATAGACCTATGCCAACATTCAAGAATGATGAATCATCAAGTTCATGAAGGGCACATTTTATGTGCACTTTCAAATAAAATACGAATTTTTTGGATTTTCAGTAAAATGTTTCCGCCCCGGTTTCGAACCGGGGACCTTTCGCGTGTGAGGCGAACGTGATAACCACTACACTACGGAAACTGCTTGGTCCAACCTGTGAAGTTGCAACACACTTCACTGGTATAGACCTATGCCAACAGTGAAGAATGATGAAATCATCAAGTTCATGAAGGCACATTTTACGTGCACTTTAAATAAAACACGAGTTTTTTGGGTTTACGTAAAATGTTTCCGCCCGGTTTCGAACCGGGGACCTTTCGCGTGTGAGGCGAACGTGTAACCACTACACTACGGAAACTGCTTCTCCACCCGATTAATTTGCAACACACTTCATGGTATAGACCTATGCCAACAGTGAAGAATGATGAAATCATCAAGTTCATGAGGCACATTTACGTGCACTTTAAATAAACACGAGTTTTTGGGGTTTTACGTAAAATGTTTCCGCCCGGTTTCGAACCGGGGACCTTTCGCGTGTGAGGCGAACGTGATAACCACTACACTACGGAAACTGCTTGTCTTACTTGCTAAGTTGCAACACACTTCACTGGTATAGACCTATGCCAACATTCAAGAATGATGAACTCATCAAGTTCATGAAGGCACATTTTACGTGCACTTTAAATAAAACACGATTTTTTTGGGTTTTACGTAAAATGTTTCCGCCCGGTTTCGAACCGGGGACCTTTCGCGTGTGAGGCGAACGTGATAACCACTACACTACGGAAACTGCTTGTCCTAATGCTAAGTTGCAACACACTTCACTGGTATAGACCTATGCCAACATTAAGAATGATGAACTCATCAAGTTCATGAAGGCACATTTTACGTGCACTTTAAATAAAATAAGATTTTTTTAGATTTTAGTAAAATGTTTCCGCCCGGTTTCGAACCGGGGACCTTTCGCGTGTTAGGCGAACGTGATAACCACTACACTACGGAAACTTCTTGGCTAACCTGTGAAGTTGCAACACACTTCACTGGTATAGACCTATGCCAACAGTGAAGAATGATGAACTCATCAAGTTCATGAAGGCACATTTTTACGTGCACTTTAAATAAAACACGAGTTTTTGGGGTTTTACGTAAATGTTTCCTCCCGGTTTCGAACCGGGGACCTTTCGCGTGTGAGGCGAACGTGATAACCACTACACTACGGAAACTGCTTGTCCTAAATGCTAAGTTGCAACACACTTCACTGGTATAGACCTATGCCAACATTCAAGAATGATGAACTCATCAAGTTCATGAAGGCACATTTTACGTGCACTTTAAATAAAACACGATTTTTTTTGGTTTTACGTAAAATGTTTCCGCCCGGTTTCAAACCGGGGACCTTTCGCGTGTGAGGCGAACGTGATAACCACTACACTACGGAAACTGCTTCTCCACCCTATTAAGTTGCAACACACTTCACTGGTATAGACCTATGCCAACAGTGAAGAATGATGAAATCATCAAGTTCATGAAGGCACATTTTACGTGCACTTTAAATAAAACACGAGTTTTTGGGGTTTTACGTAAAATGTTTCCGCCCGGCTTCGAACCGGGGACCTTTCGCGTGTTAGGCGAACGTGATAACCACTACACTACGGAAACTGCTTGTCCACCGTGATAAGTTGCAACACACTTCACTGGTATAGACCTATGCCAACAGTCAAGAATGATGAACTCATCAAGTTCATGAAGGCACATTTTACGTGCACTTTAAATAAAACACGATATTTTTTGGTTTTACGTAAAATGTTTCCGCCCGGTTTCGAACCGGGGACCTTTCGCGTGTGAGGCGAACGTGATAACCACTACACTACGGAAACTACTTGGTAAACCTGTGAAGTTGCAACACACTTCACTTGTATAGACCTATGCCAACATTCAAGAATGATGAACTCATCAAGTTCATGAAGGCACATTTTACGTGCACTTCAAATAAAATACGAATTTTTTTGATTTTAAGTAAAATGTTTCCGCCCGGTTTCAAACCGGGGACCTTTCGCGTGTGAGGCGAACGTGATAACCACTACACTACGGAAACTGCTTGGTAAACCTGTGAAGTTGCAACACACTTCACTTGTATAGACCTATGCCAACATTCAAGAATGATGAACTCATCAAGTTCATGAAGGCACATTTTACGTGCACTTTAAATAAAACACGATTTTTTTTGGTTTTACGTAAAATGTTTCCGCCCGGTTTCAAACAGGGGACCTTTCACGTGTGAGGCGAACGTGATAACCGCTACACTAAGGAAACTGCTTCTCCACCCGATTAAGTTGCAACACACTTCACTGGTATAGACCTATGCCAACAGTGAAGAATGATGAAATCATCAAGTTCATTAAGGCACATTTTACGTGCACTTTAAATAAAACACGAGTTTTTGGGGTTTTACGTAAAATGTTTCCGCCCGGTTTCGAATCCGGGGACCTTTCGCGTGTAAAGCAACGTGATAACCACTACACTACGGAAACTGCTTGTCCTAAATGCTAAGTTGCAACACACTTCACTGGTATAAACCTATGCCAACAGTGAAGAATGATGAAATCATCAAGTTCATGAAGGCACATTTTACGTGCACTTTAAATAAAACACGAGTTTTTGGGGTTTTACGTAAAATGTTTCCGCCCGGTTTCGAACCGGGGACCTTTCGCGTGTGAGGCGAACGTGATAACCACTACACTACGGAAACTTCTTGGCTAACCTGTGAAGTTGCAACACACTTCACTGGTATAGACCTATGCCAACAATGAAGAATCATGAATTCATCAAGTTCATAAGGCACATTTTACGTGCACTTTAAATAAAACACGAGTTTTTGGGGTTTTACGTAAAATGTTTCTGCACGGTTTCGAACCGGGGACCTTTCGCGTGTGAGGCAAACGTGATAACCACTACACTA